ACTGAGAGGCTTTGGGGACAGAGATTATCTGTGTGACCATGGACAAGTTACTTCACTTTCCTGCGCCTCAGTTTCCTCATCTGTAAAATGAGGGGGTTGCACACAAATCAACAGCAGTACCTGTTGTTAGGTTGTTTCAGTTCTGTCCAATTCTCCGTGACCCCATTTTCCTGGCAAAGATGCTGGAGTGGTTTGCCTTTTCCTTCTCCAGCTCATTTTACAGATGAGGAAACTGAGGCAAACAGGGTGAAGTGATTTACCCAAGGTCACACAGCCAGTGTCTGAGGCCATATTTGAACTCAGGAAGATGGGTCTCCCTGACTCCAGGCTGGTGACGCTATCCACTGTACCATGTTCTTTCAGACTAGCCCCGTAACAGTAATAATAATAGCTAGCGTTTATATAGCATCTGCTGCCTCTGTCAAGAAAACCCCAGATGGGGCCAGGAAGCATCAGAGGTGAATGAAAAACAACTCAGCTGTGATCTCCGGGATCAAAACCAGAGTCCTACGTGGCTTCTGAAGTCACCCCAACCTCCCCTCCCACCTTTCCAGGCTTCTGCAGCAGTGCTCACCTCTCTGCACATGGCCCCCCTCCCTGGACTGTCTAAGCCCTGACTGGCCTTCATGCTTCCATCTCACTCCTCCACCCACGTCCAGGCTTTCTGATTCCCTCAAGACACTTGGACTGAGGCCTTTCCCAGCAGCCCCAACTGTGTGTGCGCGCGCACACACACACACACACACACGCACACGCCACACACATGTGTGCACGCGCACACAAACACACACACACACAAACCCCACACACACGTCCTTCAACCTTCAACCGTCCTTCCACTCTGTGTCCCAGTGACCCGGCCCCCTGGCTGTTCCTGGCCCATACCACCTCCCAACGCAGCCAGAAGACTTCACCAGACACGCACCACCCCCTGGGTCGTTCCTGGCCTCCAGGATGCCCCTCGCCCAGCCACGTGGCTGAATCGGAAGCAGGCAGAGAATTTCTGCATCTGCTCTGAATAATGCAGGTCTGGGCCTGTTTCAAGGCCAATCTCCCATTACCCAAGTTGTCGATAAAAATGTCAGACCACAGAGGGCCGAGCACACGGCCCCAAGGTATTCCAGGGGAGTCTTTCCTCCAAGTCAAGACGGAGCAATTATTGACTCCTCTGGGTCTGTCCACCACCCAGGCCTGAATCCACTTAGAGGCCCTGGCACCTTGCCCCCACCCCCCTAGCTGGTCCCCAAGAGCGACCTGAGAGACCGCCAAGGTAAAGTCCCGTGACACTGCCCACACCAGCCCGCCTCGTCACGCCCCTTCCCAGAGGACATGCCTCCGTCCCGCTTTCTGTCATGTTCCCCCTTCTAACTGCTCTCTGGCCCTTCCTTTAATAGGATTTGTTTTTAGCATTTTGCCAGGAAAAGCAGTCAAGCTTACGGTCTCCCTACCCCTGAGGTCTGCTCTTTTTCAGACCCATAGCTGTGCTCCCACTCTTCACGAGCTCTCTAAAGGGCCCTCAAAGCAGCTCCGTTTTTTCCATACCCTGAAATGGCGCTCACGTGCTTGGTGACTCGAACTCAGCCAGGGCAGGTAGGTGCTCTCTTATCAGCGCATCTGGTCTTGTGCTTTCCACTCCCCACTAGGCATTTCTGGTCTCTCATTTTCAACCGAAAGATCATTTTCTTTGGAGGAGAAAACAGAAGCAAAACGAGGGTTGGACAGCACATCATTTTGCTAATTCGTTGATCCTTGGCCCATCTCCTCCCTCCTTTTGAATCATCCTCTTGCATGAAGCGCAGTTTTTACTATCCTTCATGTTCATTGCCAGCCTTCACTCATGGGGGCTTCAGCACACATGACACTTTCCTCACACACATATGTATCCATCCTCCTTTACTTGCCCTGACTCCCATTTCCTGTGCATGTCCCTGGGAACCCATTGTGCAGATTGGGAAACTGATCCCAGTGGGGAAAGACGCCTTCTGAAATGCCATCATTCTTTGCTGTTTGTTCTTTTCTTATGAATTTATCATCTGTAGTGTGGGGGTGGTACTACAAATTTCCCCCTCTCTGGTGCATGGTAACACTATGGCTACCCTGTCCCCCCCTTAGCAACACCAGGTAAATTAAATGCCCGATGCCAGAGGACAGGCAATGGGGGAGAGATGGGGTGCTCCTCCCATCCTTGGGCCCCACCGATGAAGTCCAGAGGCACACTGCCCGGGGTGCTGAGAGAAAGAGGACTCAGATGGGGAAAAAGTCCCCTGAGTCCATACATGATCTGAGAGAGAGAGGGAGAGAGAGACTTTCTAGGGAGGCCCCAAGGGACAAGGGCTCCTGCCCCTGGGAGGCAGCCAGGAGCTGTCAGAACCACAGCACAAGAGAAGGCATGAGAAGGGGAGGTGCCCTAAGTGTGCCTCCAAGCTGTGGGGCAGGTGGCCAGCTATTTCTGGTTCGGGTGGTTGTTGTCTGTCCTTCTGTAAGAGGACCGCAACATCAGGGAGGTGATGCCATGACACGCAAGTGAGTCGGATTTAAGTGAGGCAGGGCTGAGCGCAGTCACCAGCCTCACTCTCTCCTCCAGGGGCCAGATTTGGATCAGAACGACTGGAGACGGCCCTGTTCTGCTGGCCCCTGCTTGGGGAGCAGAGGGAGGGACGGGATGGGCTCCAGGCTGTGAAGGGAGCAGCTTCCTGGGGCAAGTGAAACCTCCCAAGCCTGAAGAGCCTGTACAGCCCTGGGGCGAGGAGGGAGAGGCGAGAGGGGACATTACTCCTTATGGGGTGCTGTTATCTTCTGTGGGCACTGAGATGAGTCCTATCACCAGTAAATGAACTCGTCTCTGCTTTATGCCTTGTGAGCCAAGGTGCTTTGAAGGGGAGCAGGTGATTATGTTCTTGGGGTAAAGCTCTCAGATTTTCTGTGTGGAGCGATGAGCCGGAGAAGTGAGAAGTCTTCCAAAATGTGCCTTTTCCTCTGCCACAGAGGGCTACATAGAATTATTTATATTTCTGCCTCAGGCCTACAAAGGTTTTCCTCAGCACAGTGATTTGTGTACAGCAGGTATTTAATGAATGTTTGGTAAGTTCTCAGTTTCTCTTGGGTTAGCTGGGACTTGAGGCAGTAAGGAGCCAATAAAAGTGCAACCTGCCCACACACCCTTCCCCCCTTCCCCCCAGGTTAGGCCAGCAGTTAATGAAATCTCTTCTGCTCCAAGGGCCTGAACCCAGGATGGTTCAATCAATCAATCGACATGTATTAAGCACCTACTGTGTGCCAGGCGCTGTGTTGATGCCCTTTGCTCCCCTCTCATGCCTCTATCTTGTAAGATCATCAGAGGAGCTAATATTAATACAGTGACTCAAGGGTTTGCAAACAATTCTGGGAGGTTTCAGTCAATAAACATTTATTTTCAATTAACAAAACCACTATCTTAACCTCCCACTTCCCCTTGGGAAAACATAAAAAGGAGCCGCTGCTGTTGTTGACAGGTAGAGTCAAACCCCAAAATACCAGTACAGCGGCCTACCCTCGGGAGGTGGCTGGCGGCTGGCCGCTCCTGGGCCTGACCACTGCCCTGTTCAAAGGGTTTGCCTTTTCAAAGGCCTTGGGCTTTACGATCTTGCCCGTCATTGATTGTGAGGCAGTGGGCTGAGACCCGGAGACTCGAGGAGACAACACCTGTCCCCGCTGTCCAGGAAGGGGGTCTCTGCAAACTCTGTGGCTTCCTGTGCCTCCAGGGTCATGGCTCTCACCACCGGCCCCTTCCCAGTTCCCCAGTGACTCCCCTTGTGCACCCCATGTCCAGGGGCCCTGGCCTCGGGGCTGCTCCCTCCTGCAGGGACAGGCGCCTCTGAGCCTTTGTTCTCCGGGCTTTCCTGGGAGCCCCATCCCACTGCTGGGGCCACGCGTCGGACCAGGCTTGTCTGCCGGTGGTCCCCCATTAGAACGGGAGCTCCCTGGAGACAGAGACAGTGATTTTACTTGGCATATGGCATACAGTAAGTGATTAATAAATGCTGGCTGACTGATTTTCATGCACATGGGAGCCCCTGGAGTACATTGAAGGGGTCTCAGAAGGAATGATCCTGCAGCCTGCTGGTCCAGAAAGGCCTCCTGAAGGCGGTCAGATTTACAGTCTTGAAGAAGAAAGGAGCAAGCATTTATATGGCTCCTACTGTGTACCAGGCGCTGGGCTAAGCACTTTACAACTGCTATGTCCTTTCATCCTCACAACAACCCTGCGGGGGAGGGATTGTGACTGTTCCCTTTTTGAGGAAACTGAGGCAGCGGTGAAGTGACCTGCTCAGGGTCACACATAGTTTCTGAAGCTGCATTTGAACTCAGGTCTTCCTGGCTCCAGGCACAGCGCTCTGTGGACTCTGGCGCCCCCTAGCGGCGTCTAAAGCGCTTCCAAGCTCTGTGGCTCCCGCAGCTCCCCCGGGGGCAGGGGCGGGGGCGCAGCCGGAGCCAGAGCCCGCGCCCTGCTCCTAGGCCCGCCCCAGTGTCCTCGGACCATGGCGCCCTCTGGTGGCCAGCCCGCGGCGGAGCGTCCCCGGAGCCACGTGTGCAGGAAGACGGGGAGGGGCAACGGGAAGAGGCAGGGAGGGGCAGAAAAGGGAAAGAAGGCGGGGCCAGAAGCTAAGGCGGGGGGCAGAAGCAGGATTGGTTGAGGGAGGGGGCGTGGCGATACGGGCGGGCACGAAGGTGGAGCCGAGAACTGGCCGAGAGAAGGGGCTGGGGAGGAAGCTTGGTCCCGGTAGGCGGTGAGGAAAAGGCGGGACCGGAAGCGGGGCGGGGCAGCAACTTGAGAGGAAAGGAAGAAGCAGAGCCGGAAGTGGGGCGGGGCGCGAACCGAGAGGGAGGGCAGGAGAGGCCGGAAGTGGGCGGGGCGCGGGCTCAGGGGGCGGGCCGCCGCTGGGCGGAAAGCTGTCAGGAGGAGGGCGGGAGCGCACTGAAGGGGCGGGGCCGGAAGCGGCCTCGGCGCATCGGTTGTCGCCATGGAGACCGTGAGCTCGGCGTCCCTGGTACCCCAGAGGGCTCAGACCAGCACGCAGCTCCTGGGGCCGCCGCCCGGGGAGGCGCGGGTGGAGATGGCCGCGCCGACCGTGGTGCAGCCGGCGCTGGAGCCCGAGCCCCAGCTAGAGCCGGACCGCGAGCGGAGCTCCCGCGGAGGCGGCAGCGACCGGAGCCAGAGCCGGGGCGAAAGCGGCTGCGAGGAATCCCTGGAGCTGACGCCCGAGCCCCCCCTGCTCAGGCTGAGGCCCACCTCCCTGCAGAGCCAGGTGGGGGCCGGGCCTCCGTCCAGCCTGCCCGCCTCTGCCTCCCTCCCCTCCCCCCTCCT